ATTATCCCACTATCTATCTATTTAGAGACTTCGTACTCGAGAGATTCTTCATCTTACTTTGCTTGTGGAAAGGTCATTTTGTATTAAACATTAACTAGGGGATCTGACAGACGTTGTCTCCTGCACACAGCTCTTTTATCCAGATATAAATTACAAACTTTTTTAAATAAACTATAACAATACGTACCGTTTTGAAGAGCATTTTATTGAAATTTTTATTTATTATAATATCGCATCGTGTATCTAAAACATTGTCAGATTCTACTGGAGCACACACAAAAACTACATCAGTTCACTAGATCAGACCAGTTCACTTCACAGAGTTCACTATTAAACACTCCGACAAAAGAATTACAGTACCTACCCGACGATAAATACTGCACATCGACCGTGGTTGGCAGAGATGGCAAATTTTAGATTTAGACCAAAAAAATTTAATTTACTGCTGTAATTGATGACATTTAATGCAATGTCATCCACAACTCGAATTCTTTGGAACACATCTGATTATGGCTACCTATATAGCCGATTGCAGATAAATAGAGATAAAAAATATATTTTTCTTTAAACTGTCGATACTGAAGTTATTGTTTCATCGGTCCATAAGCCATGTGCAAATTTTTTAATTTATCAGAAGTCTTGAAGTGGGCTTAAATGACGTTCGATAATTATGTAACACACAAACAAACGTATTGATCTGATAAAAGCGTCCCATTCGACTACTTTGTAGGTACCCGGTACCCTACGTGGCGCAGTGAAGTAATAAGTATGTAGATTTCTCTTACTAACGCGTTTGGATTGTCTAACTTTGTCTTCTTAAACGGTTTTTTTTAATGTACGTAGAATAGGAATCGCAGCGCATAAAATAAAAAAACATCCACTGTTCCAAATTCTTCTAATAAAATAATAAATAATAATTAACACTTTTATTACGTTTTTCTCAATTTTCAACCGTCTTCGCCATTTTCCTTTCCTCTGTCATTCTCTTCTCTCTTTCTTTCCGTTTTCTCTCACGCTTCGTTTCACACTCTTTTCATACGTTCCATTCTTACCAATCCACAAATGTTTTAGTCTTTTAGGTCTCTTAGAAATAGATGCATTCTCAGTATCTTCCGATTCGTCTTTTCCAGAGTTTTTTTTTTTTATTGCTTAGATTGGTGGACGAGCTCACTGCCCACCTGGAGTTAAGTGGTTACTGGAGCCCATAGACATCTACAACGTAAATGTGCCACCCACCTTGAGATATAAGTTCTAAGGTCTCAGTATAGTTACAACGGCTACCCCACCCTTCAAACCGAAACGCATTACTGCTTCACGGCAGAAATAGGCAGGGCGGTGGTGCCTACCCGTGCGGACTCACAATAGGTCCTACCACCAGTGATTACGCAAATTATAATTTTGCGGGTTTGATTTTTATTACACAATGTTATTCCTTCACCGTGGAAGTCAATCGTGAACATTTGTTAAGTACGTATTTCATTCGAAAAATTGGTATCCGCCTGCGGGATTCGAACACCGGTGCATCGCAACAACGAATGCACCGGACGTCTTATCCTTTAGGCCACGACGACTTCAAAACGAGTCTACTAGATCTAAGTAATCGTAGCGCCTTAATAACAGAGATCAACATAATTACTTCAGTGCGCCACCGGGAGGCATCGGTGACCTACACAGCAGTCAAATAGTTAAAAAATACATACAAGATGAAACAGCTATGAAACATATTCACATTAAAGAGTTTATCGATTTGTTAAACACAATCGAGAGTTTATCGATTTATTATTTATTACAAAGCTGTGTAAGCTGTCAAAGCAGAAATATTTAGATGACAGAGAACATTACTAAGGATGAATATAATGGATATGTGGACAAACTCAATTCTGAAGATGGCAGTGAAGTTTATTTACGTACCAAGTTTATTTGCTTTTAAGTCCAAACTTTAAACATCACGTATTTTATGTTTTTGTTTCATGAGTTGAAACTTGTCCCTTTTTATTTTCTATTCCCCATAAAGCCCAAAACAACTTAATTAGGTACAGTGAATTTTATGTTCTGTTGTATTCATATATACATATTATTATGTAACGTATTTAAACGAATGTCGATATAAAATGTTTTTTTTTTATTATATAAATTTTGGACATGCTGTATTTTATATTTTCGACATATTATCAAAATTGGAGTATTTAAAATGTAGTTTATTGCATAGGCATCGCTTTAGATCAACTACCCTTTTGCCATCGGAAATAAGGTTTAGGTGTAATCGTATGACAAAAAAGTTGACACTAATATGTTAATAAATGGAGAGGTCTTTGCCTATTTTGATTCGACTGACTTCTTTCCTTGATATAATTCTGGATTCTAAGTTGCGGTAAGGCCGTGATATTGTTCAATTAGTGAGTTAGAATCAGCTCTGGAGTGCGTCAAGTCAAAACGCAGACACGACACCTGAGGTGTGCTAGGCTAATGGCGTGGGCGTGTGAATAGCATTAGGTTAGGTTTTTACGTTACTAATATAGATTATAAGTAATACTTATTAATAAAATGTTATGGTTTATTTACTGAAATAATGATACATAATAATAATAATAGCCCACGCCGTTATTGGATTTTCTATCATATTAAGGATACGAAAGCTTATCTATGATTTAGGAAGTTTGATGAAAGATATCTGTGCACAAGTAGCACTCTGTAGCCTGAAGCTCTGCGCCGCGTTCCTGAAGTAGCATCAGGGACATTACGGCAAGTAATCCCTCAATTATACGGACCAGGAAAACGAAGAATGACCTGAATACTTGGCACTAAAATTATCTCGATAATACTAATAATGTAAATCTATACTTCTATACTAATATTGTAAAGAGGAAAGATTTGTTTGTTTGTTTGTATTGATTAGGTTCCGAAACTACTGAACCGATTTGAAAAATTCTTTCACGGTTTGGAAGCTACACTAGTGACATAGGCTATAATATTATTTTTTTTAATTACGGATTACTAAAGCTCCAATAATGTTACGAAAATTAGAAAATTAATAATAATATAAAAATGATAAAAAAATAGATAAAAACAAATATTATTTAAATGAAAATAAAAGTTCATTAAAATTATAGTAATTATACAAACTACCTTTATAATTTTCTATTTTTAGAAACCTGACGCAAACATATGGGTGTGTAATAATTTTTTATTTTGAAATTTTTGTTAAAGACCCGAGCGAAGCCGGAGCGGGCCGCTAGTAATAAATAGTTCGAAATGAGGATAAGTTAATCGAACATTGTGTTTATTTGAATTATTCGGCTGGATGGGAAATACAAGTATTAATCTCTTATCTACATGCTGTTTGTCTGTTGTATGTTTTTTTTTATTGCCCTTGTAGGCAGACAAGTATACGGCCCACCTGATGGTGAGTGGCTACCGTCGCCCATGAACTTCAGCAATGCCAGATGCAGAGCCAAGCCGCCGCCTACCGCTAAAATATATGTACAATAAAATACCGCGAGATCTAACCGTAAAATTAATCCTAATTAAACTCATCGAATAATAAGGGGATGATGGAATAAAACAATTATTCATTTTTACTAATATTTCTATTTTCAATTTCTTGTTTATTCATCTTCGAAATAAGATTCTTTCGTTTTCTTTATTACGATAATACAATTAATGAATATAAGTTGCCCGTAACTAAAGGCTACTGTAGAATTATCAACGTCTTAATACATTCGTACCAACGTAATGACTAGATCAGATTTTATTCTTCAATAAACATTGTTCTCGCTAGGAAAATTGCTTTGAATTGAAAATGTGTTCATAACAAATTCTTAAACATTTAAAAATCGTAATCATTTTTTGTAATTATTTTTAATTTAATATAACAAGGTATTAATGAAATTCAAACAAATGATTCAATGATTTCGTGTTGAAGAGCAATCTCCCGCAATGCAGCATCTATTTTAATACTACATTTTGGTACAATACACAAAAGTATAAACGAGATTCCAATTGAAGATGTATCATGATCAATTTTTCATTATATACTTCTTTTACAATACATATAAATATCCGATTTTGCTATATTGTATGTATCTTAATGTATATTAAACATATGCGTAATTACGCAATCGGAGAAAAAAGTTATGTAATTAACCTATTTACCTGTGTAAATAAATGCAAAAAATTGGAATGCTTTAAATTCTCTGTGTGCTATCATTTCATGAGATTAGATAAATTAATCAAATTCTTATTCTATTTAAGCTGTATTTAAATAAATAAAATGTTCATTTACTAACAGAACAGAGAAAATATTCTAAATTATTCGAATATTATGAAACAGTTATCTATAGAAAATAATTAAATTTCATAACGTTCTGATGATGATTCTAAACTCTAATTATTGCTTCATTCTTATTCTCTTATTATCATCTCAGAAGTTACGAAATACGAAAAGATCATAACACATCTTTTAACGTAAAATAAAGGTAAAAAACATTTAAATAATACTAGAGATGACTAGATTTCATTAGTGTTGACCATCCTGCCTAACTTCTATATGCAGTGTCTATTAGATTGCTTTGGTTGTATATGAATACAGCGAACGTTTTCACGATCAGGCTCACAACGATAAGCTAAAAATAATGTGAAACGTTGCAGACACGCAATGATGCGCTCCCGACATCATCTACATACTTATCACGGCTTAGTTGAAATATAGATAAATGACCTTTAGTGTGTATGGTGCTGAAAATGTCAGTCCAATTAATGGATGTCCAGAGTGGAACTTTGGAGGGTGAGGAGCACAATCTTACATACAGGGCCGGATTTAAACTTAATGCCGCTCCTGGGCACCGGAAAAAAATCCGCCACAATACTGGAATTTTACCTAAACTTATATTTTATAAATTTTATTTTTCAAAATTATATTAACTAATATATTGCGGAAACTTTATCATATGTGATATATTCCAAAAACATAAATAAATACATATGTGTTTTTTTTTTCCAACAATTATGAATTTAATTTAAAAAATATTTTTATTTATTTATTACAATTAATTAATTTTATTGAGCAATCTTGATAAGACTAACAAAAATTGTAAGCGGGGTGAGGTGTTACTTACTTGAGACCTTAGAACTTATATCTCAAGGTGGGTGGCGCATTTACGTTGTGGATGTCTATGGGCTCCAGTAACCACTTAATACCAGGTGGGCTGTGAGCTCGTCCACCCAACTAAGCAATAAAAAAATAATATATATAATGACTTTTGGCGTTTTTTTTTTGACGCCATTTGCTACGGTGGTGTCACCTAATAGATCATTTTTCTCTTTCTCTAACCTCTCTAAGCTGGAATTCTTTACAGTGTTAATTGTAGACAAAGTGCTTAAAACGGAACATATAACTACACGGACTTTATGTTTCTAAACCACCTAAATTCAGATAGGAATCATTAGTACAAGAACACCGCTTAGAAATCATTTTTAATATTAACAAAAACTCAGCAACAAGTTCTAAGTACATACAGGCTTAACGCTTACGATAGCCTTTTTTTATGCAAGAACAGATACAGTCATATTTTTATCTATTAGCATTCTTAGGTTTGTTTGGTAGGTAACGCTATTGAGTGTCTGCTGATAGTTTTAAATTGTCAAATCAATATTGTAATCGATTTTACAGTTAGACAAAATGGCCGTCGTTTCAATTTCGTTTGACAGTTACTTAACGTTAGTAAAATATTTAATACTAAAATTATCGATGTCTAGATTGCACTTGTTTTTAAACTAATTTTTTTTCCGTTAAATTTATATTTACAAAATATCTTTTAAAAATATTATTTATAAAATTCGCAAAGTTCTTGTTTTTCGTTTTTTTTTTTTTAATTTTCGTTATCTCTTAAGCTGTGGCGTGCACCACATTCATGGATTCATGCAATAAACAGCCAAGTTAATAAAATACTTATTTATTTCATTTAAATTTCAAAACAATTTTAAACTTGGCAATGATCTTCTAGAAACTTTTTGGCATCAATGAATCTACGAAATTAAAAGCTACAAGCATTTTATGTCTTAATAAATAATACGTGCTTGTTATCGATACGGTAAAAAGAGCATGAATCCTTCGGCGTTGTACTAATTCCTTTCGATTTAGTAACTATACGTATTTTTAAACCTAGATCCTAAATTTAAAACGAAATGTGTTATATTTACAAATGAGTTTTAAAATACTATTTTAGCTAAACGTCACTAATGACCTTATTAGACTAAAGTTGTGCCATTTTGTAGGTTATGTTAAAATTTTCAAATAAACAGTGTGTAGATTCAACGGTCTTAAAAAAAAAAACATTTAATTTTATATACATACATAACAAACATAAAAGATACACTTACGATTATTTTGTACAGTTTCAATTGAATAATATCAGAACATAACGTCTAACAATAATGTCATCGAACACAATGTAAACATTGCGCAATCGGGACGAGTGTCATGCGTACAGAAACGTTTTTATTTTTATTAGAATTTAGCGAAACACGAAGAGAAATAAGAGCGTGGCTCTGTTCCGCATGACACTATTGCGGGCACGCACAGTGCAACCAGTGTGCTAAGTGCGAGTTTTTTAACGTTCTCGATAGCGTAAAAGTTATCTCAATGGAATGGGATCGTTTGCGTACGTTTGCCGCTAGGGGCGCTGTTCCAACTGCATACAAAATTGGGTTAACTATTACACTATCGAGAACGTTAAGAAACTCGCACTAAGCACACTGTAGTCGGAAATATGTGAGGTGTCGAACAGAACCGGGGGCACACCTAATCCGTCCGGTCCGGCTCTTGCGACTCGCAGCGACCGAGTTTCTAACATTAAACACAGAATATTGATTATTTGCAAGGCACATTCTCTTAAAAATCCTGAATTTCAATTTTCATGTACACATATAGTTTAAATGCTCCGAAACGTGAAACACGGCGAGTACGAACTAAACGATGTATGAGAAAGCGACGTCTATCAATCTGTAATGATATGTATATAATCGATATTACGTACCCTGTGTCTCGAAAAACATATGAGAAGTTACAGAACGAGTACAAACAAACGTATGCGTCGTCGTATGGGTCGCGGTGAACAGTTTCTACACTAAGGACTAGTTGCGCTTCGACTCGCAGTCGGGAGGATCGAGCGTCGAGGAGAGCAGTCGCAGCCGGCGTCTCAGTACCCGTACCCGGCGCCGGGGTACAGCAGCGCCGCGCTGCCGCCCGCCGGTCAGTGTTGCGCCGCGAACTTCATCCGCTTCTGTTTCTGTCGTTGGTTACAGAACCAAACCCTCACGACGTTCTTTTTGAGGTCCAGCTTCTCTGCGATTGCGGTTATCTTCTCGCCGGAAGGCCTCGGCTGGACTGCGAAGTACGCTTCTAGACTTCGTTTCTCCGGTGCCGCTATGGATGTCCTCTTGCGTTTCTTTTCGCCAGCCGGCAGGACGCTTGGCGCGTCCGGGTCCCGTCTCTTGTTCTTGGCCTGCGCTTCCGCTTCCTCGAGCCACGCCTGCAGTATGGGTTTAAGAGCGATCATATTATTGTGACTGAGCGTTAGACTTTCGAAGCGACAGATCGTGCTCTGCGAGAGCGCCCCCACTCCCGGCAGTTTCAAATTCGCAAGCGCTTTGCCGACGTCCGCTTGTGTGACGCCGAGCTTGATCCGTCTCTGTTTGAATCGTTCAGCGAAGGCTTCGAGTTCTCGAGGGTCTGTGTCGGTATCGGGATGTAGAGCAGCAGCGGGGTGTCCTAAATGCGCGGGAGGTGCGTGTCCGAGCCCACCAGGATGGTGGTGATGGTTCATAACGTGGTTCATTGCGCCATAGCCGTGGAGCTGGTGATGTGGTGGTGCGCCTTCGCCCATCGGCGCCAATGTGGTCATAGAGGACGATGTCAGCGGATCCAGCATGTCGATCCCTTCCATTCCGTGGTGACCCATCTGAGGAAAGAAAGGCTTCTTGTAATTCGTTTTAATCTTACTGTCAATACTTCAATCATTGAGGATTACGATAGGGTATCGCCCCGCTCATTATAACCGTGCGCCGAATTAACTCGTGCATTGATGTTAAATCGCTCGTTTCGCGAATAGGGGCGCGACAATAGCGCCGACGATACGAAAACATAAACAATGATCTTTTTACAGATTTGCAGGCATTCTTTATGAGAGCAAACACTTGTGTGCTTCAATAGCGGGGGGAGAGTTTTTGTTGCGCCGTTGATTGGGAGCGAGTGTTCTACCAATATGCTTAACATGTTGACCGGCTTTGTAACGAAAATGAATATTTGAAGTGGCCGACCCGCGCCCATATGGGTGCATTACAAATATTTTGATATATTCCGTCGAGAATTACTTTTGTTACGATTTAACAATGAAAAAATGACGCTCACGCAAATTTATTTCTGTAATAATATTGATAATTTATATTAATAAGCGCCTTACATTGTTTAGCGCCTTTTATTTCTTTCGAATTTATTCTGTATGTTAATGGACTTTGGATATAATATCAGGTGTCCGTCAGCTGACCTGCTTACATAGCAGCAATAAATATATAATGTAAGTGTAAAATTAAATTGAATAGTCGATCTTCATATTTTATGAATATTGTTTTGAATTCGTCGTGGCCCAAAGGATAAGACGTCCGGTGCATTCGTATCTAGCGATGCACCGGTGTTCGAATCCCGCAGGGGGATACCAATTTTTCTAATGAAATACGTGCTTAGCAAATGTTCACGATTGACTTCCACGGTGAAGGAATAACATCGTGTAATAAAAATCAAACCCGCAAAATTATAATTTGCGTAATTACTGGTGGTAGGACCTCTTGTGAGTCCGCACGGGTAGGTACCACCACCCTGCCTATTTCTACCGTGAAGCAGCCATGCGTTTCGGTTTGAAGTACGGGGCAGCCGTTGTAACTATACTGAGACCTTAGAACTTATATCTCAAGGTGTGTGTCGCATTTACGTTGTAGATGTCTATGGATTCCAGTAACCACTTAACACTTAACACCAGGTGGGCTGTGAGCTCGTCCACACATCTAGGCAATAAAAAAAAAAAAAATTTATTTATTTAAATAGTTAAATAGTTAGACCCGTTATTTTGTAAACTAGACTCTCGCTGATCGACGAACAGAATTATTTGCCTGAAGTTTCAACAGCATTTGTAAATTTAAAGGCAATCGGATGAACAACGGGCGATCGCATAAAATACGAACCAACAAACAAAGCCACAAGCATTCAGTTTCGAATATTAGATACCTTTGTTTTAACTATTTATTTTGTCCGACGATAAAACGGATAAGCTCGTGTCGTGTGGCGCTCGGAACGCTGCGTGACGTCAGCTAATTGTGATATACAACTCTCAAGGGAAGTCAGGCATATGGCCACCGCGACAGTCCTGTTTTCTTGCAAAACTTAATATGTCTTATAGAATAAATGCAATTTCAAATGAACCAATGAAGAGTATCTCACTACGCTGTGGGTATTTCAAACGTCGAATAGGTACCTTTCATAAATAAAACATAAATGCTTAACCGATATCATCTCGCCCTAAAAAACCTTTCTTGTCTTTTGTTTTCTTGATTATCTATATACTAATATATAAATCTACGGTGGGTTTTACGGATGTTCCGTTATAACTACTGAACCATGCATCTGATTGACTTGAAACTTGGTATCCATGTAGAAAATACATGTACTTAATGGATAGGCTAATATTTATATGAATGTTGGACTCCCTAATAATAATGACAATAAATAATAATGTTAATTTTAAATGCCCAGCGAAGCGGGCGAGTACGGCTAGTCTCTAATAAGCTTAATCGATCCGCGCAGATTTATTCCGAGAAGAATACCTTATAGAAGAAGCGAAAAATAAGTTACGTATTGTATAATAAAAATTGCTGAAAGTATCTAATATTTATAATGTTGTAAAAATAGCGAATCAATAAAACAAACAAGGGATGGGTTAGTAAATTAACGTTTGAAGAATTTTTATATGATTATAAATAAATTTATACAATTTGGAGTATAGGTTAATTTTTTTTATGTTTAAAAATATATATTTTACAGTATCAATATATAATTTTAATCTGTATTATTAATGGTTTCGTTCTTATATAATTAACAATTAATATTAGCGAATAAATAAACAAAGGTTCAAATTACAAATTTAACTACCTACGATTTTAATGTCCCAAATTATTTAAGCGTCGACTTTGCCGCTTAAAAAAATCTAGTCTTTTTAAAAAAATTTTATATCTTTTCTTTCAAATGATATTTATTTTTATTACAGACTTGTGATCAGAATTCATAATCGCTGAATATTTAATTCCGGTTTTCTTCGCGACTTCAAAATTTACAACGTATAAAAGAAATATTGATTTTTAATGATAAAAATAATACATGATTTCAATCTATTATAGCCTTACATGTGTTAATGAGCTCTTAATATTTATAAACAGATATCAATTAATTATTTTGTCTGGCGATTACGGATGACGATTTCCAAAATAATTCACTTATAATTTTGTGTCACACGAACTAGATCTGCTCTGTTACCAAATCGCACCCCTCCTGTCCGAGCCTTTGCTCGCCCACCTGTGCTGGTGAAACTGGAATGGCCACTAAGACACCAGCAATACCTCATTCATAAAAAAAACAAGATCTACCCTGAATCGGGACTGGAAGCTCTTTTTTTTTATTGTTTAGATGGGTGGACGATTTCACAGCCCGCCTGGTGTTAAGTGGTTACTGGAGCCCATAGACATCTACAACGTAAATGCGCCACCCACCTTGAGATATAAATTCTAAGGTCTCAAGTATATCTTATATCTACAACGGCTGCCCTACCTTTTAAACCGAAATGCATTACTGCTTCACGGCATAAATAGGCAGGGTGGCGGTACCTACCCTCGTGGACCCCCAAGAGGTCCTACAACCAGTAATTACGCAAATTATAATTTTGCGGGTTTGATTTTTATTACACGATGTTATTCTTTCACCATGGAGGTCAATCGTGAGCATTTGTTGAGTACGTATTTCATTAGAAAAATTAGTACCCGTCTGAGATTCGAACATCGGTGTATCGCTCAACACGAATGCACCGGACGTCTTATCCTTTAGGCCACGACAACTTAAAAGCTCGTTCAGAAATCTCCAGCTGTCCGAACTGAATATTACCTAAACTCGTCGGAACTAACAATTTTATAAATACATAATTACAGGTACGGAACTGCCGACCGCAGTGGCCCCGCAGGTGCGCCAACAATTTGTTCAGCCGCGTTGCTCCCGCCTGTGGGGTGCGTGCGACGTAGGGCCACTACTACCCTTCGCCGCGTCGTTCTAAGAATAGTTACGTAAGAATATCGATGTCGATTATGCATCTTTTAATAAATGACGTATGTAGTTTGAAAAAAAAAAATACTCCGTTAATTTCACCGTTTTTATTATCCCTTTGATACTGCTTAGGATATTGGTACGAATTTATAAAACTATTGGATTGTCGAAAGAATTTTCCAGTTACCGCGTCGTTCTAAGAATAGTTACGTAAGAGTATCGATGTCGATTAAGTATCTTTTAATAAATGATGACGTATGCAGTTTAAAAAAAAAACACGCACACGTACACTCGCCCAAACAGCCAATCGAAATAACGATAATTAATTTTATCGTTTTTTTATCCCTTTGATACTGGTTAGGATATTGGTGCGAATTTATAAAACTCTTGGATTGTCAAAAGTGTACAAATTTTCCAGTCAATCGGACGTCTCAAAGTCAAAAGTCTCAAGACCTAAAAATGTCATAAATATGGTGAAACACAAAAAAAGAATACATACACATCAAGCTAATGAAGCCATGTTAAAAATATTTGTATATACATATCGACGCTTGAAAGGCAAAAGTGACTAAGCGACAATAACTGCTTTGTACATAAATGATATTCAATAAACATATTCGATGCGCAAAAAATATATATTTCTAGGTTTATTAAAATCATTTCAATCCTACAGCTACTAGCTAGATTCTACTACAGCTAGATTCGTTAAAATAAATTTAGTTTTCAGGTATTTCAACTTTAAATTAGTCTACTGTAAAGTTCACGCATTGTCGCTTAGTCACGTTTGCCTTTCAAGCGTCGATATGTACATGTGGATGCGGTGATAACTCTACCTAGTGTAATGCTATCATAACAGAGGACTATGTCTGCTGTTTTATCATTAAAACTTGAGACCTTAAATATAGAAATCGACAGGAATTACATATTACCTTGTGTGTTGACAATAAATTAAGAACGGTTAGCTGGTAGATAACTCAATTGTTGAGTTAAGCTCGACATGTTATAACTTTTCGCAATTATTGTATTGTATAAACTGTGTGTACAATAAAGGATAAGAAGAATAAGTAAATTTTATCACCAGTTTAATTCATTGATGCAAATTGAATTCCGTAACTTGAAAGAAGTTGAACTTGGTTCTTCTTAAGTGACTGCGAATAAATCGTGTCATGTCTATATCCGGTGTGATAGGATAAGTTCGTTAACGATCTACATATAAAAGAGAATGCATATGCGTGTGTGTGTGTATATAATGTTTACGAAAAATCGTTAGCTTTCTGAATCGTCTTGTGGATTTTATGTTTTAATATAGAATTGCATTTTGTTGCGGGCGAACCTGCAGACGCAGCCAGTATAGCACGTTCACTCGTTAATCATGGAGCTAAGTACAATTTTCTTTATGTTGGACATCTGATTTTCTTTTTTTGTTTGGTACCCATTCGCTTGTCTTGATTGATTTCAGGGTATAAAATGCTCTCCGAGTAGCTGATGACAGGTTGGGATGGTCCAACAATCGTGAGGAAGAAATTAATGGATGGTTTTGATCTCGACCCTCAGAAATGAAGAGCTCGTGCTCTAGTTGGAGGTATAAAGGAGGAGGAGTTATCAGTTCTTTTTTTATTT